GACCATGTAGGGAGAGGGGCGTGCATGTGCCAACGAATGCCAGCGAGATAAGGTGCGATGCCTGGGCTGCACGTGCCAGTGGGGCCTTTGACCCAAAATTGAGAAGGGGCATGAAAATATGGGGGGGGGGGGGGGGGGGCTTTAACACGCTTTGCACGAAGCTGAATGCTCGTTTGTGTCGTAATTGCGAGGCGTCGACTTTTTACAACCTCGGGCCGAGCACTGGGGATTTTAAATGACGACAAGGAGTTCGAACTGAACAGTCTGTTCTTTTATACCAAACTTGAAGGGGAAGGGGGTGGGGTGCGTGTGTGTGGGGGGGGAGAGGTCCATATAATGCCACAAAATAGACTGAATCTGCACTAAATAGAAAACCAAGCCTGTTAGCACAAAATCACACAGACGGGTGATAATATAGTAAATGAATAAGGGCTGGCAGGGTGTGGGGGGGGGGCAGTTTGTGCCCGCGTTTCAGCTGAAGAACGGGCTTGTTTCGCTCTGACGTGCGTCCAATTGCTTAAAAGAGGCTCAAATGATGAAACCCAGATAGAGCAGTGTTTTTCAACCACTGTGCCGCAAGTGATAGTCAGGTGTGCCGTAGAAAATCATCCTATTTTTTTTATTATAAGGAATTAATTATCTGCAAATCATTTTTTGAGTGTCTGTGCTGTAGTAGTGACTGGTGGCGTAATCATGTAATAATTCCTTATGACTCGATTTTGTATATTGAAGTGGACATGTTAAGAGCAATTTGAAAGAAGAAATGTAAAATATGATAAAAATAAATGTTTGTGTTTAATTGATTCCTATTCAAGACACTTAAGATAAGAATAACTATAGTGTCACTATAGGCGGCTACAGATTTGTTTGACATTTTTGGTTGGTGGTGCTCCTTGGGTCAAAAAAAGGTTGAAAAACACTGAGATAGAGGGCTACCGGCTACTGTGCGCCCTCTGGCTGGACGTGGAGGAGGACTGGCTAAAGAACGGGCCTTTGAGGGGGCGGGCCGGGTGTCCGGGGGCGGGGGTGCACTTACGGGGAAGAGCACGATGGGGACGGTCAGCGTCACGGCGGTCAGCACGGCCAGGCGCACCAGCAGCAGCATGGTGTCGAACTTGTAGACCTTGGTGAAGGTGTGGAGCAGCTCGGCCTCCACGTTGTCTGCGTCCGGCGGGGAGACGGGGGGGGGGGGAAACAGAAGGGCTGGTGAGCGCGCGGGAGGGCGGGCAGGTGGGAGGCTAAAGCTCTCATTTGCCGGTTGCTCTTACCGTAAAAGGTCAGGTAGCCGAACAGCGCCGACAGCATGTACATGACCAGCATGGCCAGGATGGACAGGTTGGACACATTCTGCATCTTCTTCCGGCTGCGGCTGTAAGGCAACAAACACTTTGGCTTAAAAACGGGTGGGGGGGGTGGGGCTACGTCTCCTTGTAATTCATTCGCTGCCAAAGACGTCTATAGACGTGAATTCAAATCCAACCGCTGACTGCCAAAGACTTTTATGTTTTTCAACGCGAGTGACTTGGAGGACGATCCACTGAAGATTGTCCGTAAATATCGGCTTCTAGACAGAGTATGTACTAACAAATTGACCCTCTAGGTGGCAGTGCCACTTTTGATCGGAGATGAGCATAGATTGTAGGCAAATAAAAAAAACGCAATGGTTCGCTATGCGAAAAATGGCGCCGGTGAGACGCAAGTAGAGGAAGAACGGAATAAGGTAGAAATTTTTTTTTTTCCTGATGAAAGAACAGAGTGTACTCTTTCTTTTGGTGTGTTCGGTGTTTACATAGTCATAGCACAAACTATTCTGTGGCTCTTGAAAAATCAGTCAAAATGCTCAAAAAACTCTGGCAGTATGGGACTCTCTGTTCTGAAAATGGCTGGCAGTCAATGAGTTAAAAAGGTCAGATTAAAATTATCCAATGAACGAAGCCACGCGTCCCTCAGTGAAAAACAGCAGATGCTTTCTAATGGTATTCCAATGGAACTAATAAGACATCAGATCTGTGTTTTCCATCACACATAATTAGGTGTAATGTGCTCTTATACTGTAATTTATACATAGATTTTAATACCTTACTATGAGCACTTTAATTTGTCAACATCGGTTATGAAGAGTTCAGTACATTTAGTTTTTTTTCCCCCAATATTTGGAACAACAGTGGACTTACTCTTTCAGCTCACTGTAGATGGGCAGCACCTCAGGGTGGCAGACAAAGGCAAAGGCCAGGATGGGCACGGTGTATGCTGTCTGTGGAACAAAAAACAAAACAAAAAAAAAAATCAGCTTTTATGCAGCCAGAAACTATAGAAGATGCTATAAATCTTAACCCTGTAATCACAAATGATGTAATTACACTGTAATTACAAAGTATGAGACAATGAAAACATTCCCCCGTTTAGGACAATGGCTATTTTTGGTTCTTTTTTCACAGTTGGGGGTTGCGGAAGGACACTTTCTTTAGCTCTGACCCAAACCCAAGATTGCTGTCGACCTTTTCACGATGCCTGATGGATAATGACGCATGTCTGCTCTGCTTTTAGCCAGCTGGATTTTTCGAACGTGTAACAGAAACGCAGACGAGGAGAGGACAAATGTGTTTTCTGCATTTTTTCTGGGTGCTGTTTTGCTTGTAAACTGTGTTTCTAATCCTATGCAAAAGCTTATTCTCGATTTTGTGAGCGAGAATCGCTCCGGTCGAGGCCGAAAAAGGCCGCTTTCCCTTAGAGACAACAGCCTGCGAATGAGTTTTAGCACAACTAACCTTTAGTCCCCGCTGGACTTGAATGATTCTCGTTACACTTTTAATCCTGATTTATGACATTTTCCTGGAAACAAGTCGCTAAAGCAAACACGGGATAAAAAAAAACAAAAAAAAACAAAACACACCCTGAAATAAAGCTACACCTTTGACAAACATGTCTTGGCAGGTTCTCCCACTCTACTCATGCCTAAACTCTACTCGTGCTCTTTTCCAATGAACAGCCTATTTGAATTGATCAATCTACTACACAAGTAGAAGGAGAGGATATGATTTCTGAGTCTGATTCCGAGCTCGAGAGTCCAACCGAAGTTTTTCGGGCCCCTCGCCGACCTCGGCGTCTTTACCTGCGAGTTGAAGACGAAGTACTTGGGCGTGCACATCTCCTCGTCGTCCGGGTGGGGCTCGAAGTGGACGCCCGTGGCGTGGTGCGCGTCGCTGCCCCCGGCGACGGCGGCGGCCGACGCGTCGGCCCGGGAGAAGTCCATCTGCGTGGCGTTGGCGCGCAGGGCGTGCAGCGCCGCCATGTCCGAGGCGTTGGCGCTCAGGTTGGACGCGTGGCCGTAGAAGAACGGCAGAGGGCAGGGAAGCTGGGTTTTCTTGTAAATCATCTGGGGAAAAAACAAACAAAACAAGAAACGGGAGGTCACTCCAGGCTCTGATGAACAATCCTCCACTCAAATCACGTCGTTAACATGGAAAAAAAACACGTCGGTGAACCAATTGCTCAGTTTTCCTCACATGCAAAATGCCAAAATGGGTCCTAAACCCAAGTATATGTTGTATTTGACTCACTGAACTGTTTTCTTTGAAATGTACTTTTTTTTCCTTTTGGTATCAGTTAAAAAATAGTTCAAAAAGCTTTCAGAAGACTAACCTCTTTTTGTCGATTTGACAATAATCAACAATAAAATGTGGTGTGAAAGGCCGTCCAAACTTACCACGCTGAGGAAAAAGACCATGCAGGACAGGGAAAAACCACTGGTGTAGCCCAGGTAGCCTACACGAGAGAAAGGTTTGGTTATTAATTCAAAGAAAACACAGTTTTTCCTTTTTCTTTAGCTTCGAGTTACCCTTTCCATCTTTCGGACATCATTACAGACTTGAATCTTTATCCAAATTAACAAATATTCGCAAAAAGATAGATCTACCAATATAAGCTGAAGGGTAAAAAATAAAATATTTCATGTCTGACGAAACAACTTTTGTCCCGTTTGCTGTCCTCACCCAGATTTTTGAGCATGGACAAAGGCAGGATGATCCCGATCGACACAAACACCACCAGGTAGTTGCCGTTCAGGTACCATTCGCTGCAGACGCGGAGCGGGGATTAAAGAAGATAAACAAAAACACGAAAAGGTTAGAAATGACCACGAGAAATGTCCGGAACGTTGAGGCCGAGGACGCGGCGCGCTCACCCGGAGCTTTCCTCTAACCGCAGGAAGGCTCGGATCACCTCGGGCAGCTCGTACTTGACGATGAAGAGGTAGCTGGACATGGCTGAGGGGGTACAAGCAGAACAAGACTTTGAGACTCCGGGAAAGGCTCCGCGACGGGATGATGGATGCCGATTCAACTCCGCCCACATCCAAGTCGGCCATTTTGATTGGGTCACCAATAGCAAGATCCCAGGCAAGAAAATCGTAATTGCTTCATGGCAATATAGACATTCATTTAAAAATTGTGAAATTAACCTTGCAAACACTGAATTAAACTCTATCCATAATATTATGTTCAAATTGTGTATGTTAAATAGGTTTGTACAATAAGTCCAAACAAGTTTAACCAAAAAATGTTGATTTCTCACAGTTATGAAGGGTGGAGGGTTAGGGTTAAGGTTATTGTTTGTCTTCCGATTTCGTATAGACAGTAAAGTTTCGTTTCCACCCGAGAAAGCTGCTAGTCACATGACCTAATCAAAATGGCCGACTTGGACGTGGGAGGAGTTGGATATTCAACCAAGGCTACAGGCTACAGGCTGCAGCCGGAGTCTACCCCGCTTGCGAGATGCGGATCGAGGGGCCTACCTCCGATGTTTTGCATGGTTATGGATATGAAGGCGGCCATTTTCCCCGGCCACCCGAAAGCCCTCTCCCCCAGCTTCTCGTAGATGAGGGACCCTGGTCCAAACAGACGAGCAGAGCTCCCGTTAGTAAACAACACAGGGGTCAAAGGGCACACAAAGAACAGGAAAACACTTAAACACGGCACTTCCACCTTCCTTTCTACACACTCTTGTCCCCTTTCATACGAGTCAATCCGTCCGAATAACTGCAACAGCTGCGCCCACTGCGCACATGCTGTCGTGGAATGCCTCAAGACTTTCTGGAAACTTGCTGCGCGTACGCATGCAGGGGCGATTCTCCTCTCAACCGCACCCACGCAACACGCCCGGGAGCAAGTTTTTACCAAAGGTTTGGCCGCATTGACATCTTTAGAAAGCTTTTTAAAAGTCTATTCTGCTCAAAGGACTCGAGTCCCAGGCGGGTTCCCTTATACAGTTTATATAGTAGGGTGGAGATATACAGTATGTGGGAGTGCATACAAAAGAAAAAAAAATTCTTTTCTTTTTTTACATTAACCAAAAGAAAAAAAAACAAAGGAATGCAAATTCCACTGACTAGTGGAGGGCGAGTAATGACTTGTCAGTAGTCGCTCTAAGACAGGTGTGTGAAATGAGATACCAACCTCCTTCTTTAGCGGTCATGAGGAGCAGATGAACGGAGTATAAGGAGAGGATGGCCACACCGAAGAGGAGGATTCTGCAGAGAGAAAGAGGAACGTGTCACTTTGTGCTCTTAATTAAAAAAAAAAAGTTATATTATTCCAGGTAAGACAAAGAAGAAGCTGTGATATCCTGCATATTTGGGATATATTTCCTCATATTGCACATGTACTCTTCCCTTCCCTCCCACCAGGGTAGTGACAGGGGAAGGTGGGGGGTAGGGTGGGGGTGGGGGGGGGTGCATGATGACAGTGTGGTGTCGTATGTCAGGAGTCATCCTTCACAGCTAATAAGGCATGAGGATAGAGAGCTGTCCAAAAGACGGCATGGGGACCAAGTGTTCAGTGGGTCAGACTCTGGTCCTTCCATGTGACCAGAAGTCGTTAAGCGAAAAAAAAATCAAACTAAAACTCTTCAAACAAGGTCTTATCTCAGGGATCAAATGGCAGTAAAGTAGCCCCTTTAGCCTCGGCTGAACTCGTTCCACCCACGGCCGGGCGGAGGCCTTTTTTTTTTTTTTCCGCCGGGGTCGAGCTTACGTAAAGAGGACGATGCCCGTGTTGGCCATGGCGTAAGACAGGCCCAGGATCCCGCTGCCCATGATGGCGTTGCTCAGGTTGAACACGGACATGCCGAAAGAGGCGTGGCCCGGATGCTGTTCGACACGAAAACAAAAACAAAATTAGATGAAGGCCACGTCACGAAAGAGAGATGAGGCATTAGATAAGGTTGTTTAGAACTACTACATTTGACTCGCTGGTGGACATGAGAAGGATACATAGATAGATAATAGATGAAAATAAAAAACTAGATGATAGAACAACCTTATAGACATTTTCTCTCAATATATATGCAGAGGAAGCACTTTTAATGTGATAAAAAAAAAAAAAATCAAGAGATATTTTCTCTTCATTTTGTCAGTGGGTATTAAACTTAGTACCAAAACCTCAATAGCTAGTTCAGGCTTTCTGGGATAGACATAAACCTACTACTTCTGTGATATTGATATTGACTTGACAACATTAGCATCAGGAAGTGGGAATCCTCTCACATATTCTTCCTGGTATTCCTGGTATTTCTTCTTCTTCATCATCAACCCATCCGACAGGAAATTCTGGCTCTCTCCGTCCTCGTTGTCGTCGGTGAACTGGCTGCGAAGACGGAGAATTCGACCATTAGCGCGAACGGTGGACGCACGGCAAACCATTCCGAATCTCGGCGTTCCCCCCCCCACCCACCTGTTTATGGTGGCCTTTTCCGAGTCGATGGGCTCCGGGTAGTGGTCGTCCAGGCTGGCCGTGCTATCGTCGTCCGCCTCCGTGGCGACCCTCCTCAGCTCCATGAGATCCGCGACCCCCGGCATGATGCGGCGCTCCACAGGGACACAAACGCTGGGTTTTCCGGGAATTCTCGGGACTTCGGCCGAAAGTGACGGAGGGAAACTTATTCCAGCAGCACAGGTAGACGTTGGCTTTTTATTTCTCCAGATAAGATCTAAAATAAGACAAAAAAAACACAAAAAAGATTTTTTTAAATGATACTGTTGCATTTTCAGAGGGTCTCGGGAACGTTTTGGTCTTGAGGAGGAACACTTTGAAATATAACAGCACATTCTGATACAGTGTCGCTTCTGATACAGCTTTGATTCCGTGTTTTTGTTGCGATTCTTAGAAATTCTAGTCTACCAATGTAACCTCTAACCCCCATTTGAAGTTAGTCTAAGTCAACCCCACGGGACAAAACGGGAATTCCTGAATGAACAACATCACCTGCCCACGCAGACTGTCCTCGGGAATGAAAAAGGGGTTAAACGGATTTGCGTTGGCAGGCGTGTCCCTGTCTCCAAAAAGCCTCACTCACGTGCCACATTTCAGGCCAGCGCCATATTTCGGAGAAATATTGGATTCACGAGGCCCTAATATCAACAGGTGGACATGTTGGTACAAGGCTGAAACACACGGCCCCCCTTTAATCAAACAAAAGAATTCTGGGGAACAAAACGTTGGCTTTGCTTCTTTTTTTTTTTCCCATTGGCCGGTTATGTAAGCGGAGAGTTCACAGGCAGGGAATCAAGCCTGCATGACTCCTAATGAAACTAGCAGATAAAATTATTTACAGCCCTGTTTGTCTCGCGCACAAAGAGCTCTTTGACGGGGGGAACGGAGGAAAAATATTCCGAGGGCTTCTCACCGGCCAGAAATGACTGGAAAACAGAAGCCATGGCAACAAGGAGATGACCACAACAGAGGGAGAAAGGAGATCTGACATCGTCCTTTTTGCTGCAGATATTTCCTAATAATGTTTGAGACGAAGTTATAGGAACGGTGGAGGGCGGACAAATCTGTTATGTTTATTTCCTTTAAAATGATTGTAGTTGACGAGCATCAAACACTTTTTTTCGTCAAACTAAATGCACAAAACGCATGAAGAAACGACAACCTGACTTTCCCTGTAGGGTATTTCAACACATTCACAGTTTAAACATGGCAAAATTGTGTTAGTTATTTCATTTTTCTTATTCCTGGTTGGAAATCGCATGGGCTTGGATGTAACCAAAACAGTTACATCGTCAATATTTAGCTCTGAAACAAAAAATCTTCGGCTTTTAATCAAAAGCTGTGCAGTGTAGTTCATATGCCACATGGCATAAAGTCACATATTCTATTCCGGCATCTAAAACTTTAATAAAAAGGTCCAGGAAGGAAATCCAAAACCCCCCAAAAAAAAAAAAGAACATTATGATCTCCATCTTGGACTGCCAGTTAGTTCAGCCCTCTGATTTCGTAAGTATCGAGTTTAATAACAGGGATGTGGGCAGAAAAAAGTCGCATGTAATGAAGCATGTCGCATCATAATGTTTACAGTCAACAACCCATTGTGTGTCTTTTTCCACTCAGCAACAGAGGCACAAGCAGGGGACTGTGCATTAAGGGGCTGACCCCCCCCATCTCTGACCTGTTCTCCACCTGGTTAATGCAGGTGAACCAAACACAAAAAAAAAAAGAAAACTCGTCTCGTGTACGGTCCATGCGACCGGACAAAAGTCCATCCCGCTCCAGGGCCTTCGCACCGAACCCCCGGCCGCCCAAACAGGGGGGGGGGGGGGGGGGGGGTTTCTCGCTTTCCGCTGCCAAAAAGATTAACCTGTCCAGCCGAATTAGTCGAGGAGCCAAAACCCCATCTAAGTCCATCTAAGATCTACAAGTCCATCTTTAACCAGATGGCACACACTTTTCTCTGGAGCATGACCTCCCTGAAGACTCAAAACAGCAGTCGGTAAAAAAATAAACAAAAATTTATTATATATATATATATATTTAATATACATATTTTAGATGACGGCTAAATTAAACTAGTAAGTTAAGAATATGTCCATGTTACTACTGATTATGGAGTTTTTTTTTGTCGTTTTGGTTAAATGAATGCCATGACAAACGATAACAGGCCAGTTATTGGCAAGTTAGCCAAAGCTTTTCTTTCCCCCCCATTGTCATCAGCAGCACTTTTAATCTCTATCCGCTTGTCAAATGTGCCCTTTCTTTGTTTCTTTGCAGCATTCACCGCGTTTCGAAATTACAAAAGGAAGAGCAATCGGCCCTATCAGTGATCACACTTCCTGTGGCAGGTTGCTCCAGCGCTCGACAAGCAGCGGCCGACAAATAGCGTGCGTTGATGTAAAACTCTGAGGAAATGCAGCTCTAGTTTGTTTAGTTTGATTTAGGGAAGGCCGTCGAAAATTCGCACTACAGACCAAACTGTGAAAGTCTACCCGAAGCCAATTCGGTCCCTTTAACAGCAACTTTAGCCAACTCGAAAATGCTCCCCCAGTAATGAATGCAACTTGCAAAAAGAAAAGTATTGAATCACCATATCGAATACAACCTTTAATAAAAAAAATAATCAAACAAATGATATTCACTTACTGGTAGTGTCCTCAAACAGGTTTTCAGGTTTTTCTTTTTCCCCTTTGTCAGATAAATAATGGCAGGAAGAGAGCAAAAGTTTCCAAACAGTGAGTGAGTGGTGAGCTTTTGTAACTCAGGTATGAAGGCATGGTGAAGACATGGTTTTAAAAGGCTGGAGGGAGGGCCTGCGTCAGCCTATGGGGATGAATTTGAGCATTTGAGAGGCTCCTCCTTTTTAAGCACTCAAAAAGGGGGGGTGGGGGGGGTCGTAACCCTCACAACCCACTTCTCCAATATGCACAAACGCACACTTATGTCCATACGCCATGTCTGACATGAAAAAAATAGATTTAGGTAAAGAACATTTATGACAAAAGTGGAAAGATAAAAAAATACAATTAAAAATCCAGAAAGATATGTTGACCGTGCTGTTGCATGGACCCACACTATAAAGTCTCTGTACTGGCTTTTTGGACCATCGTTAAATACCCACAGTGCCTTCAAGAAACGGTCATGTGATCAGCCACATGACCCTTTTTTAATCAATTTTCGTCTTCCTCCCCGAGGCCCAAATCGACTGATCAACGAGATTCGCGCAATCACACGTCGACTCGTAACCAACACACACATCTCGCACTCGTTTAGGGACTTGCTCCGTCATCACTCGCTCTGTCTATGCAATACCTACTGAAACACACACACACACAGACACACACAACCACAATTGCTTGCACATGCAACGCCGTCCATGTCCTCCGGCACAGATGGGCTGTGGGAAGCCTAGGCCGCTGACCAATGGGAGAGCAGGGACGATGGGATGTTTTTCATGAACCCAGGGTTCCGCTTGTGTCAACAGGCGATTTTTTTTTATTTTTTATCTCTGTTAACTTCGTAACGCTGGAGCCTACACAAACACACGTATCCTGAACGATGGAGCGTTTTGTTGCTCGGATCAATAAAACGTTAAAAGGAAAAGTGGACACGTTGTTCCTGATCTTTGAAGGCTTTCGAAACTTCTTTTTCTTTTTTTTTCTTCAAACAAACGAGCCGACACGAAATTCCCATCAATTCGCTCAGATTAAAACATGCCATCTGATGTTTCTGGCAGTATTAATATTTTTCACTGGAACAAAAAGCAAACAAGGGTATACATGTAATAGAAAAGCAGCATCGCATCTACTGCAAACATGTGTTGGCTGGTGTTGTACTGCTTGTTTAATTTTTTAATTCGTTTTGCTGAACAACATATCAACCACAGATATTTAATTCTGGAAACTGACCAAAAAACTTTCGCAAAGCCATGTTCTTAACCCATTACATAACTTGCTAATGTTAGCATTGTTTGCTAGCTTTTGTTGACATTTGGCACAAGAAGTTTCTACACTGAATCTTTTTAAGGGGATGGAATTACAGAAGGAGTATTTTACTTCCTAAATGTCTGCATTTTAAGGATTTTGAAGGATAAAAGCATGGGTTATCGTAACAGTTAATAAAAAAAAACAGCTTTGCTAGCATGCATGCTAAGAAAAACAGAAGTTGTCCTTCCAGTCTACAGTGAATTTGCTTTAGAAACAAACAACAGTAATAGAAATAAGAAGTAATAGAAGTAATAGAAAACTCTTTTCACGTCATTATTTCATTTTGAAGTCCCTAAAAGAAAGCCAATTCAGTTTTTACACAAAATAGGTTACAAGGTACATACATATTTTGCTGAGGGGGTCATTCCCTTTTAAATGGCACTGCAGCTCTTTAATTGTGTGGCAGGTTTGCACACATTCTTGGCGAACCACCTTTGAGAATTAACCTGGGAATGGGTCAATCTCATGACATAGGGTTAAAAAAACTAGTAGTGCAGCGAGACACAGCCGAAGAGCTTTGTTCATGTAGGAAGTACAACTTGAGTTATGTCACGCTCTGACATGGCTGCAGAATGATGATGAGAATGGCATTTGAGGAGGTTAACAAAAGCATGTTTGAATCTCTTTCATTCCCCATTGTGTAACAAGCCATTGCTGTAATAATATTCAAGTAAAGACAAAAACAGAAAGAAAAAAGCAACGATCAGAAAAGATCTTTATATTATGAGGAGTGAAATTGTTAAACTGTGACTGGAAACTTAAGGGTCTGTCATAAAAATGGTGCATTTCTGAAACTCTAAACAGTTCTGAATCCTTCCTACAAATGCTCGTAGTCTCTGCTGCCTGCTCTGTACCAACCTCTCTCTCCGTCTCCACGAGTGTGTGTGCATTTGTGTGTGTGCCCAACCCTCTTGTTGTTAAAATTCAGGGAAAACCTTTGAAAATTTTTCCTGGCAGCGTCCGCCTACTCCTCGGGCTGGCCGTCAAACATTTTACTTTTAAGCATCTTCCAGCGATCTGTTTTTATGTTTTGGCTAATCGGCAGTGGGCTAGATCTCAGCTGTGGTTAAGCAAACGCTGTCATTTCCGTAGCCGCAGAC